AGCTAAGGATAAAGACTTGAGAGAGTGGAAAAAAAAAAAAAAGACTTGAGAGAGTGAAGAACGGAGATAAAGAGAGCTTTGTGAAATCTCTTATTCTCTCTCCTTTTTTTCTATCTCTCTCTATAAATGAGAAAACTGAGCATGGAACTAAAAAAAGTGGAGGGCTTTGTGACTTTTATGGGAAGAGGACTAGAGCTTGAGGGGGACGTTATGGGTCAAGGTATCCCCAAGTATATATAATGGTCATATACAACTACATGTCCAATATAACTTATACCATAATGTTATTAGTTTTGTGTGATATTATATCCAATTCATTTTTCATTTTTCCTTTAATTAGTACTTATCTTTTTACCATTTTTGAAAAATTTACGACCAAAGGTTTAGTTTATATAGTTCCGACTAAAACATAACGAACGTAGTTGTTCTTGCAAATTCATCCCTTCACGAAAATATATTTGACCAAACCGAGGATCACATATGAATAGAATTAGAACATGTATTGTTGATTGATAATTTAGTAATTAATCATCTCCGTATGTCTTAAGTCTCAAGGTCAATTCCAAAACATATCTTTCTCCAGTCACTGTCAAATTCACATAATAACAAGACTATCCGAGGATTAATTAGTACAATAAGATTGGATCCAAATAAAAAAAACCACTAAATCTCAAAGTTATATACAAAAAGAAAATGCTTTTTTACTTTTGTAACCTTCTCAAATCTTTTGTCGTAATTTTTCAGCTCAAGTATCTGTTATTTTACTTTGCTACTCCGATCCTCAATCAAACATAAAGCGTAAATTAGTTATATTTTATTCAATTAATTTGGAATGTTTGTAATATTTTGTTATTCTGATTAGTAGATGAAAGTTTCCAAGATTTAATGAATAATCTTTTTCTTAGACAATAATATAAGACACACCAAATTAGCATATGATCTATAGACGTTGTGATTCTTCAGTTTTTCTGCGAGACCTCTTGTTGTGTTGAACAACGGGGACGGAGAAATTTCAGGAGGTATAAATTCTTAGGCTTGTTACATTTCATATTGAAACCTTCCTTAATGATTGAGATTGGCTTAAAAACTACAAAAATTATTGGAAATTAAGATTTCGAATAGAAAAATTATTCAGAAATCCTACAATCCGATGAACGTAACAAAGAAAATAATAAAATCTTTAAAAATAATTGTCCAACTCAAATAAAAAGAATAATAAAATAAGCTGGTTTCAAACTGGATTTTATAACTAAAACGCTTCTCTAGTTCCTTTATACATCAACCTCAACTAAATTATCTCTAATTAACCCTCTTCGTCATCATATATAGCCAAAAATTAAGGCTATTGATTACGTTAAGGCCTCCTTAATTAAACTCGAATACCAGAAGTTCCTAGGATCTAGACCTTCTTCTAACACCAATCTCTAACCTAGCTAGCTCTAGATGTACCTGGCAAGCTACTACTACCACTCCTCCTCCTGCTATTACGCGGCTCTGGTCTCATCATACTGATGCATAATAACTTGGTGAGCCACCAAAAAGAAGTTCGCATAAAGCTAGCCAAATCACCTAACTCTCTTTGACGTTCTAATCTCCTCCAACGACGCTCTCTTTCTGGATCAACCTCTGATGGTCTTTCATTTGGATGCTTAGCCATTACGTGCTTTCTCAAATCATAATATGTTCCGCTATAATCACAACTCTCGAAAGAACAGCTTCTTAGCTTCGAGTTCATGAACCATCGAGCAGCATTTACCACATCCCATCTCATTATATGACCACGACATAACGGGCATTTAAGGTTTGGTTTGGCTTTCTCTTTGTCTTCGTTAGAAAATGTAGACACATGAGTCCCATGTACCCTCGGGTTTGCAACTGCTGACTCTGTCTCTGTCTCATTAGAAGCTTTGAGAAACTGTTCGAAGCAGTTAGAATGCTGGTAACTTGTGTCACACATGTAAGGTCTGCATCCATTTCCATAGGAAGTGCAAATGAGAAGGATGCAGTTGTGAGGATGGTCCATACAGACAGAACATCGAGCTTCTTCCCACTCTAACTTCGACATGTTTCGGTATTTCAGTAGAATTATTCTTGATGACTCATTATTAGAATGCAATTAAATGACAAATCCTGCACTCAGAAGCAATTCTATACAAACTGAAAATTTATATAGATGATATATTAAAAAAACAAAGTGGTATAGCTTGAAAGGCAAAACAAAACTTTCATCAAAATATTATCTACTTATTTTAAGGTTTCATATACACACTCAACATTATCAAAAGTATCATGTTCAGATAAATAACAACAATACTAAGCACAACCCTTAAAGTCTTATAAGAAGTGGGGAGGTAGGTATCAAATGAAACATGATCTCATCAAACTCCGAGAATATGTAATATTGCGTTTTAAAGTGTATCGGGGGTAAAATTTTGTTCACACAAAAGCATGGAGAGTATAAAGTAGTGTTAATCTAATAATCGGCAATTGAGTTAAGGAACAAAATTCAAAACCCTAGTATTGAAATTTAAGAAATTGAAAAGAAAAAAAAAGTGAGAGATCACGAAGAGTGGAGATGATTACCGAAAGATCAGAAAGAGGAAAGAGTTTCGAAGTTTCCCAAGTTATGGGGGATGAAGAAACCCTAATTTGCAATCCCCCGGAAAATTATGTATATCTTGACCAATATGTATGTTTGACTTTGTATATAACTTATATAAGTCAAAATTTATAGATTTAATTATAATTAGAAATTTTAAAAACGGACAGATAATCAATATTCAGAAAATAATTGACATAGGACCCCGTGGTGGACAGGGAAACCGATCGAGGACGTGGAAATCGTGGTGGACGTGGTTAAATGTCTTGGTCGCTTCGGTATTAAATCAAACGAAGCGGAAGATTCGTTTTTTCTTCTACATTTTATGAAATCTAGCTTGTCATCTCTGAAATATGTTTTAAGAATGTATGACCGCAGTCGTAGCTTGTAACCGTTACTATTAATAAAAGTAGTTTTTAGAAAGAAAAAAAATGACATAGGACCTGCTTAGAACATATTTCTCTTTTGCATTAGATATTTCTATAATATAACGTATTCATTTTTTGTACACCAGATAACAAGGATTTTTTTTTGCCGTTTTGCGGCGTTGTTTTTGTTAACTTTAATAAATCAGTCATTTCTATATTCGTAATTTTCTTCCAATTTTTTTGTTGTAACATATAACATATATCTTACATATATGTAGATAAAAATAAATGTTTTTTTTTGCGACGACATCATAAATATTAGTTTTGGAAAATCTTGTCAGTGTTACATCCACAACTTTTTCCAAATTTGTGTTGAAACATATAAAACATATATTCCAATAGTACATATTATTACGGCGGCGCCATTTTTGTTAACTTTAAAAATTCGGTTATTTTTATTTTCGTAATTTTTTCCAATTTTTATGTTGTAATAGTTTACATGTATCTTACATAAATATAGTTGAAAATCAATGTTTGCGCTTTTTTCCTGCGCCGTCATATGAATGAAAATAAAAATTTTATCGTTGTTATATCCGCATTTTGTTTTCCAAATTTGTGTTAAAACATATAAAACATGTATTTCATTAGTACATACTTATTATGGTGGTGCCATTTTTGTTAAATTTAAAAAATTCAATCATTTTTATATTTGTAATTTTCATATAATTTTTTGTTGTTGTAACAGTATTAACAATTTACATATATTATATTTATTTAAAATGGAAATAATGTTTGCACTTTTTTGTGGCGCCGTCATATATATTAATTTTGGAAAATCTTGTCGTTGTTATATCCACAGTTTTTTTCAAATTTCTATATCCGTAATTTTCTTCCAATTTTTTTGTTGTAACATGTAACG